CCCTTCTGGTCTCTTCCAACTCTATCATTCCTGGCTGGCTGGGGAATTCTGGGAGTTGAAGTCCACAAGTCTTAAAAGTGGCCCAGGTTGGAGACCCCTGACTTAGATGGCCCTTCTGGTCCCTTCCAACTCTATCATTCATGGCTGGCTAAGGAATTCTGGGAGTCGAAGTCCACAAGTCTTCAAGGGGCCAAGGTTGGAGACTCCTGACTTAGATGAACCTTCTGGTCTCTTCCAACTCTATCATTCATGGCTGGCTAAGGAATTCTGGGAGTTGAAGTCCACAAGTCTTAAAAGTGGCCAAGGTTGGAGACCCCAACTTACATGACCCTTCTGGTCTTTTCCAACTCTTATCATTCCTGGCTGGCTGAGGAATTCTGGGGGTCCACAAGTCTTAAAGTAACCAAGGTTGGAGACCCATGTTAAACGAACGGTTGTAGCATCCCCATGGTCCCGTGATCATAATTTGTACACTTGGCAGCTGGTTCCTATTTATGACGGTCACAATGTCCTGATTCCCTTTTGTGACCTTCTGACAAGCGGACTCAATGGAGGAAGCCAGATTCACTTAACAAGCATGAGACTAACTTCATAACTGTAGTGATTCACTTAACAACTGTGGCGAGAAAGGTCGTAAGAAGGGGCAAAACTCACTTAACAAATGTCTCCCTTAGCCACGTAAATGTTGGGCTCAATTCTGGTCATGAGTCGAGGACTACCACCTGTATGATTGCTCCAAGGAGGAACCCTGCTACAGGTGTGATGACCCAACGGGGCGTGGCACAAAGGCAACCCAGTCAGATAATCAGTAGGAGTCCCTTTATTGGCTCCAAGTTTGACCCCAATGTCCTGGTTACCTTCTGGGCTGGAGAAAAAAAACTCTCCCAGGAACAGCCTTGGGCTGCAGAGAATCAAGTCCAAAACGTGGTCAACCAAAACTGTAACTTAAAGTCCAATCAAGACAAAATGCAGCAATTAATCCGGCAGGGCAGGAGAAGGAATTCCAGATGTGAAGGCATGGCAATAACTCAACATGGTTGGGAAGATGCCGGGAACACAGATAACCAAAGCCAACACAAGATAAACTCATGTTTGTTCCCAGCAGACGCCGCTATCTCAGCTTGCATCTCTTTTAAACTATCTTCCCAGGTGTGCCTAATGAAGGGAATCAGGACCCTTTCCTCCCCCGTAAGCCACACAACCCACGTTGCTCCCTTCTCCGTTCCTCCCTGTGTGCCCTACGATGAAGAGGGGCTGGGCCTGAGTCTTCCTCTGAATTCCCTCTCCCTTGTTCTACCTCTTCCCTGCTCTGCCCAGCTGGACTTTGCCCTTCCCATTTCCTCCACAGCCAACGGAGCCACACTCCCACTTCCTGTCAGCTGATCGTCTTCCCCCTTGGATTCAGATTCCGACAGGGGCATGACAAGAGGTTTAAGGGGAGGTTAAGCACAGGTTGAATAAAAAAAAGAAATATTTTATTTACAAAAGAACTTCGACGGAGAGCAGGAAGCCCACCAACGGGCCGAAAAAGAGAGGCAGACCCAACCCTCAAGGCTTTCACTCTGGTCAGCGGGTCAGCAGAGAGGCGCAGGAGGTCAGCTGGCGGGGCAGTTGGCAGACCTTAAGACCCCCCTCCCCGGCAGGGAGTTGCCGTGGGCGCAGGGCACCCATGTGGGTCTGGGTGGGGGCAGCCAGGCTCAGGAGGCCCCTTGGTGCTCGTGGACTGCCATTCCCAGCAGCGGCGGCTTGTTCGACATCGTCTAAATCATCCACTGATCTTGGTCTTGTTCTGCCCCTTCCATGTCCACCTGGGGGGAGAGGGAGAAAGTGGGGGCGGCCTTAGTAGGAGAGAAAGATTGCTGAAAGGCAGCTCGGTGGATCTGGGGTCTCCAACCTTGGCCATTTTTAAGGCCCGTGGACTTCAACTCCCAGAATTCCCCAGTCAGCCGTGCTGGGGGTTGAAGTCCACAGCTCTTAAAGTGGCCAAGGTTGGAGACCCCCTTTTGTAGACCACCAGCTCTGTCCCCTAGGAGAGAGCAAACCTAAGCACAGGGCCCTGCCAAATTCTACTTCCCTGGCACTTCCTGCATTCAAAACCTCAGGAAGGGGCCAATCACCAGAAGACGGTGAGTTCTAGTCCCGCCCAGGCATGAAAGACCTATGGGTATGACTTTGGGCCAGTCTCTCTCTCTCTCTCTCTCTCTCATACCCCACCCCACCTCACAGGGTGGTTGTTGTGCGGAAAATAGGGGGAAGGAGGTGTGTTGGAGATGTTCACTGCCTTATTTGTCAAAATAAGCAAGGGGGATAGAAATATCGTATTTTTCAGAGTATAAGATGCCCCAAAGTGTAAGATGCACCTCACTTTTGGGAAGGAAAACAACAACAAGAAAAAATCTGCCTCCTGGCAGCCAACAGCCTCTTTCCGCTTCAGCACAGCCTGAGTAGCATCAGCAGCTGATTGTCGGTTGGATCGGCAAACCGACGATCGGCTGTTTCAGGCTGCAGGGATCACCATCACCTATTACCCCCTCCGCCTGTCCCATTTCTGGCCTCCATGTGCCCCGTTTTCTCCCTGTTCTGACCCATGTGGAGGTTGAAAATGGGGTGCGCGCAGGGGGCAATAGGCCGTGACAATCCCTGCAGCCTGAAACAGCTGATCGTCGGGAGGCCGATCCAACCGACCATCAGCTGCTCGTGCTACTCAGGCTGGGCTGAAGCGGAAAGAGGCTGCTTGCTCTTTGCTGCCAGGAGGCCAATTGCTGGGGGGGGGCGGGGGGGTGGGGGGGGGGGGGGGGGGGGGGGGGGGGCTTCAGCAGCATTCGCTGTGTAAGACGCACAGACCTTTCCACCCACCTTTGGGAGTGGAAAACAGGCTTATACTCCGAAAAAATACAAATAATTGATAAACAAACAGACAAATAAATACAAACATGTTCGGGCAGGTTATCCCGCCAATGTTCCTGCCTGGCCCCAATCTCCACCAGACTCCTCCAGGTGGCAACTGGGGAAAGGCTGGCCGGGGGATCCTCCCTGGGGGGCCCCCTATTGTCCTATATAGGTAGCCCCTGGGCTTCTATCCAGGCCAAAAGGCGGCGCACACTCTCAGCGGCCCAACCTCGTTAATCTCCCCATCGTCGGGGGACTCGTTGTAGTCGTTCATCTCGTCCATGTCCTGCATGTCCTCATCGTCCTCGGAGTCCTCCTCACTGTCCTCGTCGTCCTCGTCGTCCTCTTCCTCCTCCTCGTCGTAAGTCTGCTAAGGCGAAGCAGAGAGGAAGCCATCATGAGAGCCCTGCTGGCGCAGCGGTTAAGAGCGGGCAGCATTGCAGACGGACTCCGCCCCACTGCCAGCAGTTCAATCCTGACCGGCTGGAGGTGGACTCGGCCTTCCATCCTTCCCTCCGAGGACCCAGATGGTTGGGGGCAAGAGACCGACTCTGTAACCACTTAGGGCTGTCAAAGCTCCGTGAAGCGGTAGATAAGTTTGTTCTATCTATCTATCTATCTATCTATCTATCTATCTATCTATCTATCTATCTATCTAT